CTAAACACACCTCGAAATCCATGGGGGATTACATCAAGAGGCGTAAAACTGAAGGTTTTGCCATGGCCTTCACAATCTCGTGACCTCAACATAATTGAAAATATGTGGATAGACCTTAAAAGAGCAGTGCGTGACAGACAGTCCAGGAATCTCAAAGAACTGGAAGACTTTTGTAAAGAAGAATGGGCAAAGATACCTCAAACAAGAATTGAAAGACTCTTGGCTGGCTACAAAAAAGCGTTTACAAGCTGTGATACTTGCCAAAGGGGGCAGTACAAGATATTAACTCTGCAGGGTGCCCAAACTTTTGCAGACGCTATTTTTTTGTTTTCTGTTATTTTGAAAGTGTAAATGATGGAAATAAAATCTAACTTTTGTTGACATATTATAAGAATGTCTAATCTGTAATTTGATGCCTTTTGGAGATTTTTCCATCTTTCCTTGGCTTCTTTATGCACATTAATACAAGTTTTTAGCTGGGGTGCCCAAACTTTCGATCCCCACTGTATATATATATATATATATATATATATATATATATATGCCATGGCTCCCCACTGTGGTGTCTCAGCCATTGAGGAAAGATAGACCTGGGACAGCTGAGGCTCCTGTGCACATCACTGGATCGAGAGGGGGCTCAGGTAACTATTAGGGGGGCTGTGGGGGAAGCAGCACACAGCAGCTTTTTTTTAACCTTCATGCATAGAAGTGTTTTGCACAGCTGCTTTACCTGCAAGACTTAGGTTAGCCAAAAATAATGTAATTTCCTAGCAATTTGTACTTCCTTCAGTCAGCTTTTGAACACAAAAATGATCAAATTGGCAAAACTTTTCACCACCATTTTATTTTGTTTATATAAACTAGTTAGATGGTAGTGATAAGATGGTGGTAGGTTGCTGTTATCTGTTCATTGCAATTCAAAGCTAGTTAAAAGTAGGTGAAATAGGTAGAAACATGCTGTATCTGTGCCCACCATTTTTATGTCTATAGCCATTAAAGGGCAGTTGAAAGTGATCAGACGTCATCTGATGTCTCTAAGGGTAGTATAATTCCCAGGCACTGCATTAAAACCCAAGTCCAAAAAATAATAAAGAAGACATCCCCGCTTGCTCATCCAGCACTGTCTCCCATAGAAACACCAGATCCGGTGTCGGACCTCTTTGAGGTTAAATGACACATTCAATCCACTTGCTGTGATCCTGGGATGTCAAGGGCCCACCTCTCCCTGAATTCTCAGAAGAATGCCGCAGAGAGCAAAGTAATATGCCTGAATTAAGACTGATCAGATAGTAGTTGCTTACCATCATTCGAGTAAGAGAACTGGAACCAGTAAAACCAGGTCTTAATAAATACATCTGATGGGTTTTTTTTTTTAGGAGTAGGTAAGATCCCCCATCTTTCTGATCCCTTCTATTTTGTTATGGCCATAACCAAACAAGGGGGGGGGGGGGGGGTAGATATGTGCAGAGCAAAATAATTTGTTTTGTTTAGGATCGATTCATTAAGTTACTAATTTTGTTTCGCTGCATTCGTAAGAAAATTAGTTTTGTTTAGTTTTATTTTGTTTTCAAACAGATTCCAATTTTTCCAATGGATTCAAAGTATTTGAATTATATTTGAATAGAAAACATTGAATTAATCCAAATTAATTGTGAAGAATAGCTGATTCTATTCTGTTCGAATTTTGGTAGAAGGATATATTCATTCTATTCTATTTTTTTCTATTCTTTTTTATTCTATTCTAATCTGTTATATTTTTTCCTATTCTATTCTATTTGTTTTGAAATTCCAATTTTGTAAGGCAGCTATAGTTTATTTTATTCTGTTCTATTCGAAACTCAAAAGAGGCAATATTCTTTCTATTCTTTTCTATTTTTTTTATATTCTATTCTTTTATTTTGCAGAATTTATAAGCATATGTCTTTTTATTAATGTATAGTATATTTTGATGGAGATTGAGTTGTTTTGAAGGAGGAAGAAGGAAGAGTACCATGGAAAGTCATTAAAATGTTGGGAAATCTCATGTGCATCTCACCAGAAAGTAGAAAACTTAGAGCAGGACCAGAAAATGTGGACTATTGTGCCTCCTTCCTGTCCACATCTTCAACATTATCTGGGGCAGATGGTATTAGTTTTTGAATAAGGGCAGGAGTTCTGCACCTACGCATGAGTATCTTAATTGCATTCTTGCATCATGGACCAGATAGATGAGTTTGTTGTTATAGAAGAAATTAAAGATATTAAATAAAAAATAAATATTTTTGGGGTTTACTCAACTGTGGACAGGTCGTGTTACCAGGCAGTGAAAAAGGGCAAACGTTCCTCAGCCATTGGGGTGGACAAGTGGTCATAGAATAAAGAGAGGGTATGTCTAAGAGGGGCATTCTCAGAGCAGAATCTTTCAAAGTTCATTCATTGGGATTGGTAGTCTGCCACTGGAGAAAGTGTAGTGAGAAAGTTTCAGAGCTGAAATGTATTCCTAAACAGTAGCTTGAAAGGGACTATAGAAAAGCATAGTAATGAGATTGCGAGCCAGACCTTCTCGTCCAACATCAGTGCCATACCTCACAAATGAGCTTTTGGAAGAATAGTTAAACATTCCCATAGACACACTCCTAAACCTTGTGGACAGCCTTCCCAGATGAGTTTAGACTGTTATAGCTGCAAAGGGTGGAACAACTCAATGTTGAACCCCACGGACCAAGACTGGGATGCCTTTAAAGTTTATGTGTGTGTAAAAGCAGGCGTCCCAATACTTTTGGCAATATAGTGCAAATCATCTACAATATCATCAAAAGATTCCAATAATCTGGAGAAATACCTGTGCGTAAGTGAAAAGGCCAAAATGCAATATTGGGTGCCCATGATTTTCAGGCCCTCCGATGGCTGGCATTAAAAACAGCCATGATTCTGTAATGGGTATCACTGCATGGGCTCGGGAATACTTCCAAAAATCATTGTCTGTAAACACAGCTCGCCATACCATCTAAAAATGCAAGTTAAAGTGCCTGTAAACCTCAGACATGAAATAAGTACATCCTTCTATAGTGTGTATTTGTCTCTCTCCAGTAGAAATGACTGCAGATACACAGCTAAAACATACAGTATGTAGGAGGATTTGTTTCATTCTTGTGTATCACCTAAGACTAGTCATTTTAGTGGGTATATGTACAGGTTTACAACTATTTTAAAGCTCTATCATGCAAAGAAGAAGCCACATCTAAACATGATCCGTGAACGGTGCGGTCTTTTCTGGGCCAAAGCTCATTTAAAATTGCCTGTTGCAAAGTGAAAACTTCCGTGGTCAGACAAATCGAAACTTTACATTTCTTTTGACAACCATGGGCACCGCATCCTCCAGAGGAGAGTGACTTTCCAGCTTTTTTATCAGTTCAAAATATGTTACAACCTTGCCCCACATTCTTCCCCCTCTCTTCCCTATAAGTGGTAACCGGGTTTTTGCAGACCCCTGTTTTCAGAGACTCTACATGGCAGACATATATACAGTTAGGTCCATATATATTTGGACACGGGCACAATTTTCATATTTTTGGCTATGTATGCCACCAGAATAAATTAAAACAAAACAATCCAAATAAATTTGAAGTGCAGATTTTCAGCTTTAATTCAAGGGGTTGAACATAAATATCAAGTACAAATTTTAGAAACTGCAACCATTTTTATACACTGTCCCTCTATTTTCATGGGCTCCAATATAATTGGACAAATGAATATAATCATAAATAAAATGTTCATTTTTAATATTTTGTTGAGAATCCTTTACTGGCAATGACTGCCTGAAGTCTGGAACCCATGGACATTACCAAAGACTGGGTTTCCTCCATTCTGATGCTTTGTCAGGCTCTAACTGCAGCTGTCTTCAGATTTTCTTTGTGGGTCTTTCTGATTTTAGTTTTGCCTTCAGCAAGTGAAATGCAAACTCAATTGGATTGAGATCAGGTGATTGACTTGGCCATTACAGAATTTTACACTTCTTTTCCTTCAAAAGCTCCTGGGTTGCTTTTGCAGTGTATTTGGATCATTGTCCATCTGTACTGTGAAGTTCCGTCCAATCAACGTTGCTGCATTTGGCTGAATCTGGGCTGACAGTATATCTCTAAACTCTGTAGAACTCATCCGGCTGCTTCTGTCTTCTGTCACATCATTAATAAGCACCAATGACCCAGTGCCACTTGAAGCCATGTATGCCCATGCCATCACACTGCCTCCATCATGTTTTACAGATGACGTTGTGTGCTTTGGATCATGAGCTGTTCCAAGCCTTCTCCACACTTTTTTCTTCCCCTCATTCTGGTACAGATTCATCTTAGTTTCAACCATCCAAAGAATGCTTTTCCAGAACTGGTCTGGCTTTTTTTAGATGTTTTTGGCAAAGTCTAACCTGGCTTTTCTATTCTTCCGGCTTATGAATGGTTTGCACCTTGTGGTAAACCTCTGTATTTGCTCTTGTGAAGTCTTCTCTTGATTGTAGACTTTGACATTGACAAGCCCACCACCTGGAGAACGTCCTTTACTTGTCTGGATGCTGTGAATGGGTTTTTCTTTACCATAGAGAGGATCCTGCGATCATCCACCCGTTGTCTTCTGTGGACGTCCATGCCTGTTTATGTTGCTGAGCTCCCCAGTGCATTCTTCTTTCCTCATGAATGTTTATTTGGCCACCCCTAATATTGCTGCTATCTCGCTGATGGATTTGTTTTGTTTTTGAAGCCTTACAATTGCCTTTTTCACTTGCATGGACAGCTCCTTTGAACACATTATATAGGTTCACAGCAATAGATTCCAAATTCAGATACCCCACTTAGAATCAACTCCAGACCTTTTATCTGCTTAATTGATGAAGAAATAATGAAGGAATAGCCCACACCTGGCTATGAAACAGATTTTGATTCAATTGTCTGGGTACTTTTGGTCTTATTGCACAGCTGGCAACCAATCACGGTACCACGCTTGAATCCACTTAGCTCCTGAGAGCCCATTCTTTCACAAATGTTTGTAGAAGCAGTCTGCATGCCTAGGTGCTTGATTTTATACACCTGTAGCCATGGAGGTGATTGGAACACCTGCATCCAATTGTTTGGAGGGGTGTCTCAATACTTTTGGCAATATAGTTTATTTAAAGTCTTTGCAATTTAATGTTGAGGAACATTATTCTGAAATTGACAATTTTTAGATGTAGCTTTTCACAGACTGGTGAACCTCTGCCCATCTTTACTTCAGAGACACCCTGACTTTCTAAGATGCCCTTTTTTATATCCAATTGGGTTACTGACCTGTTGCCAATTAACCTAAGTAGTTACAAAATATTCTTCCAGCTTTTCTTCATTAGTACCACTTACTTTTCAGCTTCTAGTGCCCTGTCCTAAAATGTTTGAAACGTATTGCTGCCATCAATTTCAAAATTAGGTTATTTTTTTCTTCAAATGGTACTCAGTTTTTCTCATTTTCTCAGTTTAAACATTTGATACATTTTCAATTTTCTGTTGTGAATAACATATAGGTTTATGAGATTTGCAAATCGCTGCATTCTGTTTTTATTTAGATTTTACATAGCATCCCAACCTTTTTGTAATTGGGGTTGTAAGCCTGATGAATTAGTCCACCCCTGCTCGGGTGAGAAAGAAAGGTGAATGTCCAGGTTTCACTTTTGCTCTGTCATTCTGTAAGGAGTGTCACTATCTCCTGTAAGAAAGAGTTCTGTCCTATCAGGTCCAAAAGTCAAGGTATCCATCGGTCAGGTATCCACATGGATGTGTCCTGGTTGATTGAAAGTAGGGTCCTTGAATCTGTATTGGCAACTGAGGGTGGTATCTGAGATTTAGCTCCAGCACAAGCTCAAATAGAATAAAAGTAAGTCTGGAGAGTTGAACATCTGGATGACCATCGAAAGATAGTCAAAACCTCTTCAGTGTCTGGGAAAGAAATAGTCCTGAGAACAATGAAATAGTCCAAGAGTTCAATAAAGAGGCCAGGGTCATGGCAGATTTCCCATTGAAGTGTTAAGTGACAGCCCAGAAGGGTATGTATGACATGTAAGTAGGCATCAAAATTTGGCATCATAGGGTATCTTAGAGATGTCTGCATGGTTTGTAAAAAGGGTCATTGCAAAATTCATATTATGTTGAAGAGTAAGTCAACTTATCATTGAATATCAGCATGTTAGGATAGGAAAAGATTAGGTTATGGTTTGTTGTGGTGTGGATGTAAAGGGGTCATCTTAACCTGCGGTTTATGTTAGGAGGCCTTCTGTCGGCTTATGCAGCTGGTGCATCAGGAGGAAATTCAGGAGACGGTCAAAGCCAGTCTGGTACTTGAATTGATACTTAATCTCTTTCCAGGAACTCAGATAGGCTGGGATCTTCTATTGTAGATTTGAGAGTCAAGATTCAGTCAGGTGTAGCAGAAAGTCCCATTTATAAGAAGTTGGTTTTGATGGGGATTAGGGTTTTCAAGTCTGCTTTAGTAGGTAGTTATGTAACGAAGTCTCAGATATCTATATCAAGTAGTTTTAATGCGGAGTATAACTTTGTTGTCTACTCATATCTTGTAAGTGGGAGCATAGGGAGCCTGAGGGCCATGAGCCTAGACAGCTTTCTTCAGTGGAATATCCTGGTGAAGAGAAGGGTCTCTGCAGGGTGAGGGGGGTCCCCCATCTCCAAATATTGGTTATTGAGATGTGCCCATATATAATGAGCCTTCATTGGAATACATGTGGCGTGTGCACATACCCCCCCTGTGGGTGGCAGTTGTTGGAGCAGGGGTGCTTCTATTCCTGTGACAGGTCCTGTGAAGGAAACATGGATTCCGGGTATCCTGTGTTCTCACAAGGTCCAGCATTGCAGACTTCAGTGGTGTGTTTTCTTCTCTCCGATACATGACCTCAATGCTGGTACTTCCCTTTCTTGGCTGGCTGCATTGTGACCAGGGCGAGGCAGAGGGTATCTGTAGACTAGGCGGGTGCTAGAAAGTTCTGGGAAGTGGCTTCTGGAGTGTCTTTAGGCATGGCTGCACTCAAGGCTGGTGCTTTGCTTAGTTCCGGCAGCAGGTCAGTGTGGGGTGCTGGGCTTTACAAAGGGGCCTGAAAGCTGCCTTGGGGGTAATGTGTGGGGTTAGAGGGAATTGGCTGCTGTCTGAGGCAAGATTGGGATCAGAGTTAGGTTGCATTAAGCTTCCTAAACATGCAAGATCAGCTCTGCTAATCTAGCAAATGTATGTCAATGCAGAAAAAGGGGAAAGGAGGTGGCAGAGTCTAACCCCTTTTCTATCTTTCAATAACTAAAACAAGGGAAACAAAAGGTTGTTTTGGAGATTTACTTTAGTTGCTTAGAAGCAATTCATCTTAATTTTCTAAAAGAAACCTCAGTAAACATTCCAGTTATCTATATTTAATGTAACAACAAAATCTAAAAATACAAGAAGACAGCAGTAATAATTTAGAAATACATTTCAAGGAAAACCAAGGCTTGAGGTAGGACTATTTTAATGACAACACAAAATCAAACAAATCATAAAGCAATTATCACATCTGTGTCTGAAATATAGGCCATTTACTAGTAATGATGTGTGATATAATTATTCTACATTTCTTTAATGGGGGGCTGGATTACTTACTACAGCTGTTCTGGTATAGGTGGTATTGGCAGAATTTACATTTGTATAGCAGCATTTGGTATTTCTTGTGAAGCAGTTCCTTTTTACACCAAGGTCACGTCAGGTGCAACTTGGCATGTGATTTGCATGCCCTGCAACTTGCAAATCGTATGCCAAGTCACACACAATTGTCCGCTATTAGAGCAGTCATATCGGTGCCATTCTGACTTGGTCGAAGCCGCACCAATTTCTAAAGTAGTGCATGCACTACTTTTGTTGGGATTTGCATAGACATCTTTGTCGGATGTCTTGCCTTCGCAACTGGAAAGGTCACCCGATTTTGAAATCGTGCAACTTCACTGTAAGTCGCACGATTTCAAAATCGGCTTTGATGTGACCGGGGGCTTAAAGTTGAAGGAAAGACAAAACTTTTATTTTGATTTCAAATAGAGTAAGGGAGGGTTAAAACCACTTGTCAGTTTTATTTTTGCCATCTCTGTCCCACTGGAGAGAGTTCCCTTCATATCCTGTCCCATAACAAAAACTGGAAGCGAGTGAGGGAATCCCTGGTTGTCACTACAACTAATGTCCCCATTGGAAGATTTCCCATCTACACTATTTGCCAAGAGTATTAGTTATACGCACATGAACTTTAATGGAATCCCAGTCTTAGTCCGTAAGGTTCAATATTGAGTTGGCCCACCCTTTCCAGCTATAACAGCTTCAACTCTTCTAGGAAGACTATCCACAAGGTTTAAGAGTGTCTATGGGAAATTTTAACTATTCTCCCAGAAGCATATTTGTGAAGTCAGACACTGATGTCGGACGAGAAGGCCTGGCTCGCAGTCTCCACTCTAATTCATCCCAAAGGTGTTCTATTGGGTTGAGGTCAGGATTCTGTGCAGGCCAGTCAAGTTCCTCCACCCCAAACTCGCTCATCCATGTCGTTAAGGACCTTGCTTTGTGCACTTGTGCGCAGTCATGTTGGAACAGGAAGGGGCCATCCCCAAACTGTTCCCACAAAGTTGGGAGCATGAAATTGTTCAAAATGTCTTGGTATGCTGACACCTTAAGAGTTCCCTTCACTGGAACTAAGGGACCAAGTCCAACCACTGAAAAACAACCCCACACCAGAATCCTCCCTCCACCAACTTAACACTTTGCACAATGCAATCAGGCAAGTACCGTTCTCCTGGCAACCACCACACCCACACATGTCCATCAGATTGCCAGAGAAGCGTGATTCGTCACTCCAGAGAACACATCTCCACTGCTCTAGAGTCCAGTGGCGGTGTGCTTTACACCACTGCATCCAACGTTTTGCATTGCACTTGGTGCAGTAAGGCTTGGATGGAAGCCCATTCCATGAAGCTCTCTACGCACTGTTGTGCTAATCTGAAGGCCACACCAAGTTTGGAGGTCTTTAGCTATGGACTCTGCAGACAGTTGGTGAATTCTGCACACTGTGCACTTCAGCATGCTCTGACCCCGTTTTGTCATTTTATGTGGCCTACCACTTTGTGGCTGAGTTGCTGTTGTTCTAAGTTGCTTCCACTTTGTTATAATACCACTAACAGTTGACCATGGAATATTTAGTAGCAAGGAAATTTCACAGATGTACTTATTGCACAGGAGGCAACCTATCATGGTACCATGCTGGAATTTACTGAGCTCCTGGGAGTGACCCATTCTTTCACAAATGTTTGTAGAAGCAGTCTGCAAGTATAGGTGCTTGATTTTATACACCTGTGGCCATGGAGGTGATTGGAACACCTGAACCCATTGATTTGGAGGGGTGTCCCAATACGTTTGGCAAAATAGTGTATTTCTATTCTGGTAAAAACCCAAAATTTAGAATTTTTTTCACTTTTTCATGACAGCAGTAAACAGGACAAAAAGAAAGGTGAATCAAACAAGGGGGACAAAGGCAGCAATAAAAACCTGACGGGTGTTCTAATCCCTCTACATTCTATCCAAAATTTACTTTTTGTTATATTTTAAAGGAAACTCATACTGAAAGAAGTATGATATTGGTGAACACCCCTGATGAAAATCTTAGGTTGGAAATGGCAGGCCTGCATATTTATTTTAGTTTTCCTTTGATTTTAAATTGCAGGTAGTAGGCTGATGAACTTACAAATCTCTCATCTGTTCCTTCTACCAGTATACAGGAGGAGACTGTGCTTGGATCAGAAGTCTATGGGTTGAACAAGGTAAATCCTAGGCCCCATGTTAAAGAAATTTAAAAAAAAATCCTACATTAACCAACTTCCTATGCGGCCTGGCTATTACAGCTCTTGCACACAGTCATATTTAAGGTATATGGGGCCTACAGAGCAATTTATGGCTGGTAACTGAGGAAAATGGGAGCATATTTTGCCTATAGACATGCATACTTTATAAAAAAATACTGCAGGTGGCT